GTGCTTTCTTATTATTCACAAAAATTGCAAGTGTGTTTCTGTAAAATTTCTGTTAAATTTTTTCTATACCTATAGCATAACTAATCTTAAAATTCAACAATAATGTAGCCTCAAAACAATACTAAGTGTGTGTTTTGACCCGGATTATTTGAAGAAAATCAATTTCCTGAATAGCAAAAGTGGGGCTGTAAATGAATAAAATAAACTTGGGTGGAGAGTAATAACAATTTCCTTGTTATCTACCCACTAAATATCACTGCCCATAACTCGGTCAAAAGATCATTTTGGCCCTCAATTATGATGCAATGGGAAAATATGTGTTTTGCTAGAGTGACAAGGCCACTCAACATGCGCCCTCTATTCCCAAAGGTCCTCTCTCTGTGGCCCCAACCAGCCTTCCCCGATTTTCAGAGATTATATTCATCCTTAATTTCGTCTATAAATTTATCACTATATCTTTTCAAAAGAAAATACTACATATATAGACTTTGACAAGGACAATTTATTGTGCAAACTAAAACCTCCCACTATTACATAAAATATTTCGTCTTTTATAAAATTTCAAAACCCCCCCATTGATATTTGTTATTCAAAACTGATTTTCCTATAAGTCATAGACAAAAATGTACTTTAAATTTTATCTTATTTTTGTCTTATAATATTTAATTATTTTATTTAGATTAAATTTAACCCACGTCTTTTCCCTTTTTTTTTTTTTTCCAATTCCTTAGGATTTTTTTTTCTTTCTAAATATTTGTTATAATATTATATTTCAAATGGGCACGACCAAATTTGTGAAGCTTCTTTCTCCTTAACATTCCATCTTTCTCAATCATAGATTCTACTCATCATATTATTTGATAAATCAATATCACGAAGTAATTTAACCACATAAATAATAATAAAAACTCTTAATATATATAAGAATAGTGGAAATTACACCCTTGCCTACTTTTCAAGATCAATTTTCTAAAATCATAGTGAAGGTTTGAGTGTTCAAAAACCAGATATTTTGAATATTAAATATAATAATACAAATTTAATTAACACTAATTTATTTTCATTTTCTTTCTCTACATCCCGCCCCTTTCATCCTCTCTGCTCTCCTCAATTCAAGCAGCCGGCACCTGTCGTCGGAATCAAATCAAATAGCCGACACCACATCACAAGAACCTGTCATCGCTGGACAAGCAACCGATGGTCGGAATAGTGCGGCTCGCCTAATTGACTATTTTGCTGCCAATGATTGCTGCGGGGAGAGGACCAACGCTGCTCCACCACCTATCCCATCTTCTCTCTTGATAGCGAAGGGAATCGGCGCCGTAACTGCAAGATCGGCACACTTGAGCGTTCGTCGCTCACTTGCAGCGACGTTGACTACGAGATCGGCGTAGGAATAGGTACAGTGACAATAGTTTGTGGTCTTGGGTTGAGCTCTTTGGTAATATTGGTGGTGGCGATTACCAGTATTTTATTTTTTTTATTTTTTGTTGGTGGTGCTGTTTGTTGTGGTTGTGCAGCGATGTAGTGGTATTGTGTGTGCGCCGTGGGCTGTGGGAGCGGTGGTTGCCATGTTGACTGTTGTGTAAGGTGTAGTGGTTGGGTCTTTTGGTACACGATGTAGTGCTGTTGGCCGTGATGTTGATGGTAGTGGCGTTTGGGCTTGGTGGTTACTGCAGTTGCAAAAATGGCGACGGTTTTGTATTGTTTTGCAGTGGTTGTATGATTGTTTTCTGTTAACATAGTGGTGGTTTGCATTGTAGATCGTGGATCTGTGGTGTTGGTGTGTGGCGGCGATGGTGGTGGCGATGATTTGGGGCTACAAATCTGCTTTTTGACGGTGGGGGGTCGTGGCAGTGGTGATGATGAGATGTTGGTGGTTGGAGGTCGTGGTGGCGACGGCAGCGAGGTAGAGGTGCTGTTGGCGTTCAGAGAATTGATGATGATGTTGGTGGTGGTCGTGGTTGTAGGGCGATAGAGGAAGTGGTGCTGGCTCCCGCAGCCAACGATATTGGCTGTGCTGATAATTGTGATTGTGACCGTGACTCCCAATTGTGACTTGACATTGAATATGTGACCGTGACTTCCAATTGATTAAATTGTGACCTATAAAATTTGTGTTTGTGACTTAAAATTTATTGAGTTGTGACCGAAAAATTAATCAGTGACCTATAAAAAATTTTATTCATGATCGAAAAATAATATCTGACCTATAAAATTTGTGTTTGTGACTTATATTTTATTGAATTGTGATCGAAAAATTAATCTGTGACCTATAAAATTTTTGATTCGTGATCGAAAAATAATATGTGACCTATAAAATTTGTGTTTGTGACTTATAATTTATTGAGTTGTGAACGAAAAATTAATCTGTGACATAAAATTTTTGATTCGTGATCGAAAAATAATATGTGACCTATAAAATTTGTGTTTGTGACTTATAATTTATTGAGTTGTGATCGAAAAATTAATCTGTGACCTACAAAATTTTTGATTCGTGATCGAAAAATAATATGTGACCTATAAAATTTGTGTTTGTGACTTATAATTTATTGAGTTGTGATCGAAAAATTAATCTGTGACCTACAAAATTTTTGATTCGTGATCGAAAAATAATATGTGACCTATAAAATTTGTGTTTGTGACTTATAATTTATTGAGTTGTGATCGAAAAATTAATCTGTGACCTACAAAATTTTTGATTCGTGATCGAAAAATAATTTGTGACTTATAAAATTTTTAATGTGACCAAAAAATAAGTTGTGACCAATAATATGATAAGTCGTGACTAAAAATTAATCCGTGACTAATTATTTTTGGATTTGTGACCAATAAACAAACTGTGACTTACAAAATTTTTGAAATGTGATCGTAAAAAAATTTGTGACATAAAATTTTTGATTTGTGACCAAAAAATAATAAGTAACTAATTATATTGTTAATGTGTGACCAAATTGTATAGATCTGTAACCTAAATATATTTAATTAATAAAATAATTAATTAACTAATTAAATTATAAATAATTTTTAATAAAAATCTGATTTTAGAAATTTGAAACTTGTTTTCTTGTTTTTGAAATGTGCCATAATTAATTTCTTAGTTATGAAATTTTCCCATAAGAATATCATTAAAGAAAATTCAAAGCTTAACACTACATATTGTTATATGGGCTAACTTGGTTCAGCCCATGATGAAAATTGGCCCAAGCCAATAAATTATTTTATTGTTTGGTCAAAAGTGGTGGATAGATATATCCTTCCCAAAACCGTGGCCGTAAGAGAGAGAGAGAGAGAGAGAGGGAGAGAGAAAATCTTGTGACTTCCAAGTTGTGAGAGAAAAAAGGCTTTCAATTGTGAGAAAGAAAAATCAAAGTTTGCGGCTCCATTGAGAAAAAAGCAATAACATTGCTGCTGAGAGATAGATTGCAGGTCGAGAAAATCTAGAGAGAAGAAAAAGTTGGAAATTGATAAATTAAATAAAGTGGTTGTTCAATTTCTTCTTGAGGTGTGGTATCACACATGTTTACTTTTTCTTTTCTACATTATATAAATTGAGAATTTCTCTAAGATATATTTTTGGATTTGTATTCAAAGTGAATTCTCATAAGGTTAACCAATTTGGTGATTTGTGATGAGATAAATTATTGTCTTAGAGATAATTATTGTGGTATTCCAATTTGTGAAGAATTCAAGTTTTGAGGGCATAAACTTGAATATTGTGATCTATATTAATTATTATAGTGGATTTTTGGCCGTAGTTGCCCCATGGTTTTTTTTCCCTCTACATTGGAGGGTTTTTTCATGTAAAAATTTGGTGTTGCGTTTTTTTTTTTTTTTTTGCTTGGATTATTTATTTGCATAGTTGATCGTTCAAGTTAATTGCTTGGATTGGTAAATTTATTTTTACAATAATTGAAATTGCCAAACAAAGTGGTATCAGAGCTCAGGTTGTGTGGGTGTAGTTTTATTGCGAAATAAACGGAAAATACTTTGGGCACTATGATTAAATTGTCGGCTTCAAATTATTCTATTTGGAAGCCTATGATGGAGGATATCTTGTATTGTAAGAATTTACATGAACCTATTGAACATGATAGTGCTAAGCTAAGCAATGTGAGAGATGGTGACTGGAAGAAGATGACCAGAAAAGCCATTTGATATATTAGACAGTGGGTTGACATTAATGTTTTTCATCATATATCTCAAGAGATAGATGCACAGTCTTTGAGAAAATTTGGAGAGTTTCTATGAGAGAAAGACTGTTCAAAATAAAACTTTTGCTATTAGAAAGATTGTGAATCTGAAGCTAAAGGAGGGAAAATCAGGCGCTGAGCATTTGAGTGAATTCCAAGACTTGATAAATTAGTTGACCACAATAAAAATAGTGCTATATGATAAGATGCAATCACTATTACTTCTGAGTTCATTGCCTGATAGTTGGGAGACTTTTGTGGTATCAC